AATTTGGCGCGTGTACTTACTCGTCAAGATCGGCCGCAGTGATGAGTTCGCCTTTGTATGGTGAATGTTTTATCCCAAATGAGAACTTCGGGTTTATTGGCTTATCAATGTAAACCTGAAATATGGAATACGGTTACCGATAGTACTTCATCAGCGAGGATTTACTACTCTGTTCTACTTAGATTTTTCTTCTTATTTCGCATGGACAATTTTATTCAGTTGAAATCGTCGAAGAGTACATTTATTTCCTTATTATTTGTTTAGTTAATTTCGCATATTTCGGGATAGATGTGTTATTCAAAATGCACTAAGTAATTTTAAAATCCGAAGTCGCGGTATGGAAGAAGTGCCTCTTTGAGAGTGCGCATTTAAAGTCGAACTCTTTGAGGTATTTTTGAGTTTCTTAAGGCTTATGTTTTAGCTTGGAATTCTACCCAATTATTATATTGGCATAAATCTTAGACTGTTATAGGGCAAAATATAGTGGATGGACACACACCAAACTATAACTCGTGGCAGTAAGTTGTCCATTTGCCATGAAAATATTCGGACTAATATCGCCTTTGCCGAGTCGAATGTGTCCCTTTTTTATTTAGGTCTACCTGGTCAAATGCCACTAGTCAACTTGAAAACCACAAGGAAGTCAAACAACCTTACCGCCTCATGTTTATATGCACCCGGCCCCGGCTTATTAAGAGAGTCTCCGGGTAACCATGTTCGCGACTTCAGTGTGTACTGGGGAGCTCTTTCGTTGTAAACTGAGAGATCCGTCACTGCGTGTGCTCCAGGCCCAGGTGTCTACAAGTTTAACACGATGGTAGAGTACAGTTTCAAATCAACCACTGTTTTGTTACTTCATTAACGAACCTGGCTTTTTCTTAGCTTCACTTCCTCCTCAGTTCCTACTCGACTTGAAAGCGAGTAAGCCGGTGCACTTGCTTTGTCGCTGCGGATTGTCTTACCGATCATTGTGTCCATTGTGTATGCGTTTGGCGCTAATTTTTTTTAAAGCACCACAACGTTTTTACCTGGGACAGCGGTTGCCGAGGGGTCGTTGGGTTTTATTCTGAAGGAAAATACCGGCGCTTTATAAGAGTTGGCTTTAAATGCAGATTCCGTGTTATATGCACCAGCTCCCGGCGTCAGGGGCTTTGCCGAGTCCTTCCGTTGTCCTTTCATGGAACAGGGTATTTGAGAGTCCTTTCCACTTCTTGAGATATTTGGACTCAAATAGTAGCACGGCCCGGGTCCAGTATTAATACCTTCCGTCCCATGTTTTGTACCAAAAGACCACTGTGGTTCCCGTTCGTGAACTGACCGAGGGTCGTGTTGTTGATAGCCCGTAAGAGATGGAAGATTGTAGCATGGACCAGGATTTCCGAAAGAAGCAGCAATTGGCTTTCGAGGTATTGTGTAGTTATAAACCATTTTTTAATTGGAGGGTTCGGTGACTTCCAACGTTTCTCGAGAAGCTAAGTCGTACCACTGGCAGACTTCTGCAAGAACTGAATTGGGCGTCCTGCAGAGGCCAAATTCATATATCTTGTTTGGTGCACTAAAAGAAAACTTGCTCACGTGATTAGTTAGGGATCTTACAAGGTATTCTGAGTATTTGGTGCATTTTTACGCGCGGGAAGTCAACCCTAGGTACCGAGTTGGCCATAGATGTTTGGTTCAGTTCCCGAGTTGTACATGCCCGAGTAACTCTTCGGGCGTAGTGAACTGACGTTAGGGACTTGGGTATTTCTCATAGATCTAGATTGAGAGCCGTGCAGTAGGAGGTAGGTTCGTAAATAGAGTAAACATACCAAAGCATCTGCAATTGTAGCATGTCCGTATCGACGCGATGTATGTGTATAGCCGTTTGTCGAGGTATCCGCCTCCTTTGGTCTCTTTGGCCAGGCGCCCTTTTGTACCTTCGCTCTGAATAATTTTTAGCGCTGCGTGTGTGTCGCGTAAAAGGTGCCATTACGTTTTACTCTGTTGTGGGGTGTGCGCGAGTCACTCTGCTGGCGTAGATCTATTGTCGCTTGTGTTATTTCTCCGGTCATCTTCATTTCCGATTACTTTTAATCATTTTTATTAAGGTTATGCAGAGGCCAGCGTCTCAGCGGACGTTAGCGGACATATTGCGCACGGTGCAGTGGAAATATGTCGGGAAGTTACGGAGGTAGTGCGTAAACTCTGCAAAATAGATCAAGACGGTGCGAAATGGTTGCCTGAATAGTGTGCCAAAAGACATGTGCGCAGCCGAAGACAGCCCCTTCGACGTGCCCTTACAAAGATGAGCTGTCAGTTGTCGGCCCGGAAGAAAGAAGCTCTGCATCTGATTAAAAGGAGAGCATTACGGAACGATTGTTTTTTTCGCAATCCATCATCAGCGGGAGGGTGAGATAGTGGACGATAAAATCCGAATTAACACCAGCACATTTGCGTAGCTTAAATTAAATTAAGTCACTACACAAAGGAAATTAAGCTTTCACCTTTGAGCTACCTATTCATATCGACAAGTAGAAATAAAAGCAGTTTTTACATAAGTAAGTCTGGAAATTCAAAAGCTATAGGTAGATAAGAGTTAGACGCAAACTGCCGGCATTAAAACATTCGTGATTATATGCACAGTGATTTTTCAGCAAATCAATATCCAGTTTATACTTAAAGAACTTCAGTTCAGTTCAGTTTATTGAGGGAAATAGGCGTAAGCCTTTGAGTACCCTATTTACAACGTAAAACATGTGTGGTATACAGATAAATGTTATGGGCTGAAATAGTTCAAACACGCCCATATTGATAGGACAAAATGAGAACGAGTTACAGAGGGTGAGCTCTGCTTCTCATCGCTCTTCGTCATTTCGCAACATAAATATGTCCAAATTCTTTTTAAAAATTTGTATAGATGGTGACATCACAACATCTGCGGGAAGGGCATTCCAGGGTTTGACCACTCGAACAGAAAAGGAGAACTTCGCACATCCAGCCTTGCTTGCTGGGTGCGCAGTTTGAACGGGTGACCTCGTAGGTTGGTCGTGGTAGCAAATTCAAAAAATTCTTCGAAGGCTAGGCTGCAATCCAACCCCTTTACAATGCGGAAGGCTTGCAAGAGATCCCCGCGAAGTTGCCTGTAACTCAAAGGAAAGAGGTTCAGATTAACTAGGCTGGTTGCATAAGGAAAGGAGCTTTGGCCCCTAACCATCTTCGTGGCTCTCCTCTGGACTCTTTCGAGGCAGTTTTTATCCTCAACAGCCCACGGCCTCCAAGCTTGTATGCCGTACTCTAAATGCGGCCGGACGAATGTTCCGAATGTCCTTGAGAAAGCTTCTTCGTCAAAGTCCATCAAAGCACGTTTGATGGCGTACGATACAGACATTGCGTTTTTTGCGACCCTCGAACAATGGGCGGATGGCTTTAGAGAACTTGTCGTCAGAACACCGAGGTCCTTTTGGGCTTCGACTTCTTGTAGGGCTGCACCGCCCAGAAAGTAGTCTCTTGTGCTGGCCGATCTGGCTGTGTTGCCTAAGCGAAGTATGCTACATTTGGCAACGTTGAACCGCAGGAGCCAACGGAGCCGACTCAATAGTTTCGGAAAGAACTACCGAAACAAGGAGTCCGTTTCAAGCTCTAATTATTTTTTGCGAGGTGTTCCGTCGGACATCCGTATGAGCCAGGTTTCTCTGAAGTTTAATGGGATGACCACGCAGATGGTCTGCCCCAGCCAATTCAGAGAATTCGTCACATTCTAGGGCACGTTAACGGCCTCTGACAATCCGGTAGATTTGAAGGAGATCGTCGCACAACTGTCTGTAATTGAGAGAAAAAAGGTAAGTTCAGTCATTCAGTTTTCGTAAGGCAGATGATCAAGATTCTTGGCCATCTTCGCAGACATCGTCTTTACTTGTTCGAGCGGTTGATGATTCTTCTTCAACCCCGGTCTCCGGGCCCGGACGGCATACTCCAAATGAGATCGAACGAATGTCCCGTAGGTTTTTCCGAACACCTCCTTATCGATCTGCACAAATCCTCGCCTTTGCGCAAAAACACCCGTTTCGCGCTTTTGGCTGCCCTTGGACGCTGTGGCGAGTATATTAGGGAGTGGGTCATTAGGACGCCGAGGTCTTTCCGCTATAAAACATTTGAAAGGGGTTGCTCGTTAAGGAGTTATTGAAAAAAATCGTCCTTATTAATGGTCTTTCTGATGCGGAGTCTCGGAAGCACACATTTGTCCACATTAAAATTGAGAAGCTAAATAGCTGACCAAATGCTCGGCCGGTTAAGACTCTCTTGAATGAGGTATCTGTCTGGGTCAGGTCTGATGGCTCCCCACAGTTTAACATCGTCAACAGACATGACAGCATCTCACTCTGGGTCGTTGAGGCATTCGTCAATGTATGGTAGGATTAGCAGCGGTCCTAAGACTGATCGCTTGGAAACACCACATAGAACGGGGTAGGAGTGGACTGCGAAGCATCATCACACGCGGTCTGTGATCTTCTGTAGGAAACTCCCCGATCCATGCCAGCAGCTTTCCTCTTACCTCAATTTCAGTTTGTATATTAGGCGTTTGCGTGGGACGCTGTCAAACGTCTTCTTGAAGTTCGTGGAGATGACGTCGACCCTACCATCCTCGATCAGTGCAAGAGTCCATGATATATTCAGCCGAACAATTTTCAAGTAATGTCTGGAGCGTCACGACTGTACCAACTCGGGTGACAGTACCATCCAATGTCATCTTTAATTTCTAATAATAATAAGATATTTATTGCCAGTTTACAGGCATTGTCAGGGAAGCGTTAAACACAAATCCGGCCAGCAGTGAAAAAAACTATCAAAAAGGAATAAAAATAAAGTTGATGGTGGTTTGTATAGTTTAAAATGTTCAGGAGAAAAAAATGCTGACCGCAAACTGCCGACTGTCAACAAGGGAGAGGTTGCTTGGTATCGGATATTTTCAATCGCCAATTCTTTTCATAAGTTGAGTCTGCTCCAAACAAAAGTGCCGAAGAATAGCTGTCGCTGGTGGCTAGAGATATTGTCCCTGGTGTAACCGGCTATAGTGCTCAGAGACCGCAAACACCATCGCTACGGTATAGTCGATCAGTGGATTCACCACCAAAATTTGTGGGAATTTTTCTGAATGCAAAAATCGAGTGATAGTTTTCTTAAATAAAGGATTCTTTTACAGAGTTTTCACATTCCTGGGTAGTTTATTCCAAATAGCATTTGCATTTACAGAAAAGAACCGACGATATTCAACAGTACGTGCCAGACGAAGAAATAAAACAAACTCACGGTTACCGTTACTTTGGGGGTGGACAAGATGTCCCAAACGAGTGAATGGGTTAAAGGTACGATTATATAGAAGCCTAAATAGCAAAAATATCCCTTTTGTAATCTACGAAACCAGGAAAGATCAAGGCTTGCATGACGGAAACGTTCATGGTACGACATGTGTCGGTGTTCCGGGGTTACAAATCTCTTGGTAAAAAGTGTTGAACGGATTCTATTTTCTTCCGCTCAGAAGTCCGCATGAGGCTAAACAAAAACGAACAGTATTTCAGGCCATTTCGAACGTACATGTTACACAGGCGCATTCTAATCATGTTTCTCAATGGACTAACAATTCAGAAACTATGGATTGCATTTTGTAAAGATTCTGCCTACCTCGCCTAAAATTCACATGTAAATTTATCTTTACTTGCTTTGATGGGACCCCGACGGGTCCTTAATAAAAAATTATCTTATCGTATCTTATTTTAATATCGGAGGATAAATCCGGTCGTTCTAGTGCTTTGGAGACTATCAAAACACAGTGCTCAGAGAGATTGAGACTCTTGGAGTATGATACGCCCAAATCCTTAATAACCCCAGGCACATTTATGGCGTGACCGTCAATACTTAGTTGAGGTTAGCGGTCGTCGCCAACCACAATGACTGAGCACCTACGCCAAGAAAGAGAAAGGCGTCATGTGCGGCACCACTGG